AAACAAATAATAGCGATCAAGCGAAAATCACGCATTAAAGGGGCAGGAACAGGGATTTTGAAACGATAAATAAGCTACCATTGCACACCAATACTTTTAATGTACAACAAAATTGGTTTGACTGAAAAATATGGATGATTTTAAATTTAGAATGTGTTTCGTGGATATAGTGCGTTTAAACAGAAGTTTGGATTTTATTGGACTTGGGAATTTTCTTGATCAAAAGCAGATGAAATTCAAATTGGAAATATAAAGCTCTGGTTTGCTTACAAAATAGAGTTTAGGCCTATAATGTTATTCGATGGTTTTTGAGCAAGCTTTTCAAAAAAATACGTTTCCTGGAAACTGCATCTTTCGAAAAATTCTATGTGACAATTCCACACCATTCCGCTGTTTTGTAATCAAAATCGTCTGCATTTTTATGGGTTATCGATATAATTTTCACAATGATCATAATTAAAAAATCTGCTTCGTAGAAGTTGTATGTTCCGAAAAAATTTTACTGCGCAATGTCAAAATTGGCGCGTCCTTCATCTAATCGTCGACTTTTTCGATTTTCTATTAAATTTTTACTCTTATTTTTATATCTATTTTTGGCTAAGATAATGGGGCCACCTGTGGATGCCAAAAATGCCCGGAGGTCAAATGGTTATTCAACACTACCCCCAATTGCCCCAAGGTCACAAACGCTTCGGCTATTACCCCCGGCGTGCCCCTTCATATCGATCGATTTCCGGGTGCCTGGCCCCGATTTAAAGGGACTTGGCAGCAATAATCTAAGCGAAATTCTATAAAAACCTGGCGGCCGACTCAGATACTGCAGTGAAGCTACCCTTAAAATTGTGTACGACGATGAGATTTTGCAACATTCACGTAGTTTCGGTTTCTTGATACGGTATTACATCTGCGGAATCGTAGAGGGATAAAATCCCGCCAGTCGCAAATTCGGACCGTGATAATTCCGAAAACAAAAATGCCGACACTCAAAACCCCGATAACCAAAATTCTGGAGAAAAATTCAGTCAGAATCACGATATTCATAATACCGACAAGGCAAAATTTCGACAACCAAAATGGCGACATGCAAAAACAGCTGTTTAAAAGAAAATGTCGTCGACATCGTGATTTCAAAAACTCAAAAATCAGAACTTTTAACAACCGACCCGAAAGCAACTGGCCAGAAAAATTATTCGCTTAGATTGCATTTTTTGAAACATTAAATCCGTTGCCTAAAATCTTGTTAAAAAGTGCATAAAAGGCATAAATCTGAGCATGTGTATGATCGTAATACCGAAAAAGGAGCTTGAAAATAGCGCAAAGTTCTGCCTATCTAAATAAACAGGTTAGATACACTTATGAATACAACTGTATAAAAACCTAAAAACGATAGCTTAAAAATCGTATAAATCAACGAATATCGAAAATTAGGCGAACTCATGACAGCAGAATAAGTTGGTGGTCGACGGGACGTATGTTTCGTGGCTACAATATCATCGAAAAATCCAATATTCGCGATTTAAGGAACAAAATCCATTCTGTCAGTGTGTTCTGTCAGTGTCTGTCTGTTCTGTGGGTGTCTGTCCGTCTGTCTGTGTATGTGGTGCTGTCTCAGCCTCGCCCTAAATCGAATGGAGAAGCAGGCCGATTCGGGGCCGCCGTGCCGACCCCCTCTCTCGCCCCCCCTCGCCCCCCTCGCCGGTATGCGTGCTCTCTCGCGGGGTCCTGCCCCTCTCCCCTCTCTCTTTGTCTCGTGCTCTCTCCCCCTCTCCCAGACATCGATTGCACCGGGGCCGGCTGTCTCTGTATCTCGTCTTCTATGCACTCTCTCACTCCCTCGAACCCCGAGGAAAATCGAGACGTACAGAATTCTTCAAGATCGTAGCTGTGTGGGAGGAAAAGTATCTATTAAATCGGGGGATGGGGTAGTTGATGGATACCTTCAATTTCACAAGCTAGAGAGTATAGATATGTTTTTATAATTTTTCGAATCACATACAAGGGAGTCGTAACATTTTTAATTTTGAAACGCAGTGTGGGGGAATTAAATCGACAATAGACGGCTATTATTATTAAATAATTCCCCACCCAAGAATTGGCTTTTTTGTTGAAACATTTTTTTGCATTTCTAATCCAAAGTTGCGCTTAATTTGGATCGTTTTTAGCTACAGAAATTCCAAGAAGGTCAAGGAATTTCTCGAAAAATGCGAAGGCATTTTCGGGGAAGAAGCAAACGAGTTTTGCCTGGAAAAACAATTCGGTCACGCTTCTCCAAAAATGTTGGGCGGAGAAATTGTGCAAAAAATATGTTTTAAAAAGCTGTGAAGCGGCGCGATTTTTTCTCTTTTTATTAGATGATCGAATGTATCAAATCTCGTCCATCGAAAAATCAGCCTTTTCAAGGTCACTAACTACGGTAGTAGCCTATAATTTCAAAATCCCAATAGCAATTATAAATGTAATAAAAAAGGATAGCGTAGCTATATATTATGGATCGTGCCCTACACACGTCCATAAATGGGTGGCTGGTGGATGGTGGTGCTCCTCGTATCTTGGAAGCAGGAGGAGCAGGAGATCCAGTCCTTCACCCTCCCCTTCCTCTGGGATATGCCATCCACACCGACTGTCTGTCTCTCCGTTTGTGTGTCTGTATGTCTGTTCGTTTTGTAAAAGAAATACGGTCAGACTCACAGAATATTTAAAAAGATACGTCTAAGCAATATTGGAAATATCCAAAAATTTGAAGTATTTTAGGAATAAAAAAGAAAAGGAATAAGTATATAGTGGGAAAACCCATTTTTTTTCTTGTTTTCCCACCAGCCGTCGGGCGACTCATTTCCCGAACTGGCTGCTGTCGTCGGCGGCTGGGTATAAAATGTGGAGGGGGATATTGGACAAAATGAGGGCTGGAAATGGGGGTTACGAGCAGGAAGTATTGCCCACCCACACTGCCCAAAAGACTCTCCATCTTGTTGGAGAGAGAGAGAGAGAGAGAGAGAGAGAGAGAGAAAATGAGAAAGAGAGAGCACGAGAAGCCGATGAAGGAGAAAAACAGGGGGGTGAGGGGGTGAGGGCTACTTCCTCATAGCTTCTTTCCCGAGCCGTTAGTTATTCAGAAAAGTCAGAATTTTTGGGCGAGCTTGCACAAAATGTGTTTCACGAGAGGAAGGCTTCCGCTCCAAAATTAAAATACTATTAGTTAGAACACAGTGAGGATGAAAATTAACTTAACTTTTTTATATTTAAAGAATCCAATTTTTATAGTATTTACATTGTATATAATTCTTCAACTATGCAAAAAAAATTGTGTGTAAGTGCGAGTTTGTCTTGCAAAGGGAAGATACTCCATCAAATGTTTCAGCCATAATTAAGACTCAATGCATAATAAAAATTATTAATGGAAATTGATGGAGATATGGCTGTCTTCGGTCTCGCCAAGCTTAATGAAGCATGCTGGCGATCTTATAAAATCGGCATTTCGAGACAAATTGGCACCTTTAGTAAAAAAACAAAAAGCTTTGAATTTGTTCCCAAAATTCCTAAAGAATCTCAGGAAATCCAGGTTTCTTAAAGCATACAGCAATCAGGATTTTTGGGGGAGGGGTCGAAACGTAGTCAACGAAGAGCCCATAGCTTAATACATGTCGACACTCAGGCGTGTAAATTAACCGTAAATTCCAGGTTTTTTCGTGAAGCAGTTTTGAACATGGAAAACCAAAACTTTCAAAGGACTAAACGTAATTTTGTTATCCGGCAAAGCTTACGATTTCTACAGAATAATTTGCAAAGAAAATGTTTCATCAAAAAGGTAGTTCTGATGGAAAATGAAAAGAAGAATCCGCACTGGCGAAAAATTTTTTCCTACATGTCCAGAAATGCCCAGCAAGGTATTGTAAATTTGTCAGCAGTCTCTTTAGTGGAATTTAACTATATTTACAGTGGAAAAATCGAAAAATTTTGATATTTGGTTGATCCTACTATATATAAAAAAATAGTGTCTGTGTGTGTGTGTATATTTGCATGCACTTCCGTTTGGATGTTCCGCACATACAGCCTCGGCGAAGCATTTATTCGGTAGGCAAGACACGTCATAGGGTAAAGAAGGGGCCGGAATCGACTGCACACACTTAAAATCTTTGAAAAATTTCGATTTTCGCTATTAAAATTAGGTTTTTGTAAGGATCTTCGCGTGCCTCTTTGTTAGGGAGAAATTACCATACACCGGAAGTGGCGGGGGCTTATAAAAAGGGAGGGAGGGCGTGGTTTTCATTCATTGCTGATCGTTCCGACAAAGATTATGCAAAGTCAATACTTGCATAGGTCCTAGACGGGGCCAGGTTCAACCTTTCAACCCTGGTGAAATGATATTTTTGGTATTTTTGTGCTAAAAGTTTGTGAATTTTTTACGCATAAGAGTAGTAAAAAACAAGCACGACAGAAAAAATCTTTCAAGCAAAAATTGGAGCTGTAGGGAATAAAAATCTTAATGACGCGGGTTACGGTAGAGGATAATGGAACTGATTATTCCAATTTCCCAAGAATCTCTGCTCGTTCCCCCAAATTCCTAAAGGATTACCGATAATTGCCGGAATTCCTAAAGAATCATTGCGCGCGGCCCCAAATTCCCAAAAATTCTCTGCTCGCCTAGAGCGCTTTCTTAAAGTGTCGCTGCTCGCTACGGCCAATTTCCCACATAAATCTGTCGTTTAGCGCCAATTCCCAAAGAATCTCTGCTCGTTTACCGCCAATTCCCAGAATGCTCTGCTCGTTACCCCAGTTCCCAAAGGCTCTTTGCTACCTGTTCCTAGACCCATTTTCAGGCTGAACCCAATAGAGAATATTTGCATAAGAATCCAATTGTTCGGATTGCGTGTGAATCCCTAAAAAATCCCATTCACCAAATGTAAACCATGAATTTTTGATTTCAAAGCTCTTCGTGGAGGTTGGAAAAATGAAAGGTGAGCGGGGCAAGCGGATTGCCGCGGAATTTGCAGCCGATCGGAATGCGGGTCGTTTGCTTGGTGGGTTCAATTTTAACGCTAAAAGAAAAAAGCACAATTACATATCCAAAACCGCGCTGAACAATTAATTTTTGAAAAACATTGATTTTTTTTAATCTGAGCAGGGGACACGTGGTTTCGACGATGCTAATTCGTGGCGCATCGGAAACGCGGGCTCTTTGGCATTAACGAGGGGAGGGGGAATCAGGGTAAACCCATTTTTTAATCTAGATTTAATAATTAAATAGCTGAAATTGTTCGACTTTAACTTTCACTATCTCTAACCGCAAAAACCTCACATTTTTAAACACCGAAAAGTTTAGATTTTAGATGGTGTTTCCACGCAAGTATAGACATTTTACTAAAAAGTTAGATTGCTAATATTACCTTATTAAGTATTCCCGGACATACAAAATTTCGGTCCCCCTGATAAGGCAAAAGAACCAAATAGTTTGTTGCTATACACTGTCAGATAATTCGTGACGAGGGGATACTCTGAGCAATTATTCTTGCTGAAACATATTTTTCTAAACTTTTTGTCAGCTATGACCCATGATATACCGCTGCATTAACTCAGTACCGCGAACCGTAACGCCCGCGCCACTCGGTCAGGCTGTCCTGAACGACTCATAACCGATTACCCAATTAACGCGGGCGTATGCGCTGCGTGTCGCGGATGCGGTAAAATTCAAAGCAAATTAATTTTTGAGGATATTCGACGGATTAAAAATCATAAGCAAAAGATAGAGGTTTTCATTTCACATAGTTAGCCATCGCCGTCTTATCAACAAATTAAAGTTTAAAAATTAAAACGTATTAAAAAACAAATTTTAAAAAATCAGGAGCCTTTTACAAAAACATTTTCCAAAAAAATGTTTAAGTTTTTTTTAAGCATGATGAATTTTTAACGAATTTTTAGTTGGTTTGTACAGCCATATCGTCAGTGCTCTGTGGATATTACGGTAAGTAGTGTAAAAAATCGGAACACATTTTTTCGCGATTTCCAGCGACATGCCCCGGGCAAAACGAGGAGATGGGATGTGCGGGTTGTGAGCCGAGCTGCGAGAAGCCCAATCCGGTACCGTAAGCCCGAATTTTTGGGTTGAAAGGGACTGTGCAGCGGCAGAATCGACCCATGGGCCGCTTGGGTTTCCACGGCTACGGCTGGCTTCTAAGGACGAGTACAAGCTTGATGTTTCGATCAGAATTCCCAAAATCTCTCAGCTGCTTACCACGAAGCCCAGAATAATCTCTGCTAGTTACCCCTTTCTATCGGAATATTCGCAACTCTCAAAGGATCTCGGCTTCGTGCTCTGAATTCCTCAATAATCTCCGATGCCTACTCTGATTAATTTTTCTGGCGTTGCCCTATATTCCTCCGAAACCCCCCGCGCGCTGGCTAAAAACCTCAAAAATCACTGCTTGTTGGCCTATCTTCAAGTACTTTTTCTTTTGACCTTTCTGCGCGCTACAAATAGTTCCCAAAGAATCGCTGCCGGTTACCCTACCTCCCGGGGAAACGCAAGAAAATGCCGATAGCTTTTGGAAGGTTACCGAGTTGTCGAGGCCTAGTCGCGGCTGGGGGGTCTATTTAGCCGTTTTCGGACACGTTAAATCAACGATTGCGAAGTCCCTACGATGAATTGGAGATACGAGTCATCATTTCGGTAACTTACTATATGAAACTCACAAATTCTCAGGATCCTGAAGTAACATTTCTCATTTTTTGAGCTTACGAAAAATCCCTGGATTATTTCCCCCAAGGAACTCTGCTAGCTAGCCTGAAATATCCGAAATTTGTAAAAAATGGTCGCAACCCTCACAAATGTCTGAACGCAACCGCGAAGATTAAATTCGGGAACCAGCAGCATTCGCCGTTATTTTCTAAAACATCGAAATTCCAGAGCTGCTACCGTATGACGGCCTGCCAGACGGCGAAATGCGTCTGTGTTTCGGGGAGCGTCCGGAGGAATGATGGACAATGCGTGGCCCCGAATCGCTGCATTAGTAAGCAAATCCACGACAAATTTTCAGAAAAATGGGTTTCAAAAGTTTCTAAAAAATCGGGAAAATTTTGGCACTTAATTGCCAGTCGATAGTGGTTTTTAGCCCCTGCCGTCGCCTACTTTTTGGTGATTTTAGTTTGCTATGACGTTAGCTTGTTCGTATTTTTTTCAGACCCGTACCCTCAACCAACCCCGCCGCCACCGCCGACCCCAAAAATCAGCACCAAGAAATTTACCACGGTACGTGGAGACTCGCTTTGACTGGCCGTCACGCTCCCTGTAAAGCTCTTAAAGAATTTCGGCAAGAGCTAGCGATGAATATCTGGCCTTCAATTTCCATACAATCTCTGCTAGTTGCATCTGCCACTCGAAAAGCTGTCACGTTTCCTTTAAAATTCCCAAAGGATCTCGGCTAGCTACCCCAGAGCACTGAAAAACCAAAGAATCTCCGCCAGTTACCATTCCCTGAAATCGACGTATCACGCCCGTTAAAAATTCCTAAAGCATCTCTGCAAGCTGCCAGGTGACGCAGAGATGGCGGTGAAATTCCACTCCATTCCCAAAGAATCTCGGCGAGTTGCGGAGACCCCCGAAAAAACTTGGTGCCACGGCCCCTTTAAATTTCAAAGAAGCCAAGTGGCACGTTCCCTTTAATTTTTTAGAAGACCTCAACATCTTCCGTCAAAGATACGACAGTGAAGAGTACGACAAAAGCCGCGGAGGAAAGTTTTACGAAATGATGTGTTTTATCTATAGATAATCGATTCATACGATTTAAGTTCATACGATTTATTTGAAACATGTTACTTCGACGAATCCGGTTTAAATGACGTATTTTGTCGTAATAAGTTACCGCATTTAAAGTATTTTTAAGGCGACGTCCACAACGATGGCAGAAACGGAAAAATCGACAGCTACGACTACCGCCAGCAAGGTGAATTAATCGATTGGCAGAACAAAGAGATGTTTTATTAATAATAGAAATCCTCAGAAATTTCTATCAATTAGTAGCCCGTTCTTGAATATCCTAGTATGTCCTAGTATGTAGTAGCTAACCAACCTCTGTCTTCGATATCTGACAGTAGATATTATGTAAATTGCCCTAAATTTCTTCTACAGCTAAAATAATCAACCCGCTTTTTTTCTTTAAATGAGGCAAAAGAGGAACTTCGAATTTTTCAGATTTTGACAGGCTTTTCATTGTAAAATATCTCAAATGTTCATGGGGCGCCTGCTAGCAGCGACCTTTTGGGAACTGGGAAATAGAATTTCTTACCCAAAGAGTGTTCCATTTTGTATGCAAATTAAGGCGACCGCCGCTCCGGAAAGCACGTCCCAGCAAGCGGATACTACGGTATTTCTAGCTTTTTTTTGTAAATCGTACTTTCAGGAAATAACGTCGAGCACTAGCCAAAATAGGGAGACGACCACCGAGGAATCCGTAAGGATCGCCAAAACGCATTTTTTAAGTTGTAATTTTAGTGCATCGACGAAACAGAATCCAGTGCTTCAAATGGCATGACGGATGGGATTACGGTAACTTTTGCAGAATTTAGCACGAAAAATGAAGAATCTACTTTATATAAATTTCTAACGTCCGTACGCCCGTCCGTCCAGGAATTCAGCCAAATTATGCATTCAAATTCAACATTCAAATTCTGAGGGGGGAGACCAGCGCTGAACCCCCGCGTAGCGGGGGTCAGCGCTGGTAGAATTTATAAAATTCTCAAAATTTCCTTCAAAACGATTTTTTTCGAAGACGACAGTCAATTCTGAGGAGACTGCGACGACAAATGATGGCGAGGTAAAAATATCTCTATTTAGTAAAAAACGTACCGTATTTGCAGTGTGAATCCGAGACGACAACGGCTGCTAGTGGAGGTGATCCAGAAACGACCGTAAGTCGCAGTTGAAAAATTTTAGATCACTATTTCCTATTTTTTCCTTATTTTAATCTGATTTTTTGTATTATTTATTAATTCATAAATTTAATTGTTTATGTCAATACAAAGCTTACAAAAGTTTTTTTACAAAAATTTTTCAAACATACACAAAGTTTTGAAAAATGAAAGTTCCGAAAAGTTCCAAGAGAGAGAAAAATTACCCCATTCTAAGCTCGCGCAAAAGCTATTTTTGGTGTAACATAATTTCGCTAAAAAGCCCAAAAATTTTGGTCTTGTTCTGGGAAGTTAATTAAGCGTTAATTGGCCACGATAGCTGCTGTGCTATTTAGGAAAAACAACAAAAGTGCATTAGAAGCAATATTTTTAGCCCAAAATTCCTTATATTAAATTAAGGCGACCGATTCGACCGGTTTCCAGACAACCGAAGAGAGCTGCGCTCCCGAGGAGACTACGGTAGCTACTTTGCAAATTTAAAAACTTTATAAAATTGATATTTAATGCAATTAAAAGGATTATCAAGGTTATTTGTTATAAAAGTTAAAAGAGTGATAAAACATAAATTATTTGTGAAACTTTTATTTTTGTAGAGTTCAGCATCGACATCATCTACAGATGCCGATACTACGATAACAGAAGAAGAAGACTGCTCCACCGAATATACGGTTCCTAACGTAAGATATCAAAAATAACGCTAAATCATTTTTAGACGGAAATTACTGTGTAGTATTTACGTAATCTTATAAAAAATCTGCTCAAATTTTCAGACCACGCCAGAAATATCATCTACCGATTCCGTGACTACGGTAACAGAAGAAGAAGACTGTACCACCGACTATACGGTAATTCGCGTAATTTACCAAAACAGTTTTTTTCAAATCCTTAGACCACATCCGGGACCCCATCTACAGATGCCGATACTACGGTAACAGAAGAAGAAGACTGCTCCACCGAGTATACGGTAATTACCGTAATTTCTCAAAATACTTTTATTTCAGACAACTGAGACCACGCCAGAAGTATCATCTACTGCTTCAGATACTACGGTAACAGAAGAAGAAGAAGATTGTACAACCGAATATATGGTAATTACCGTAATTTGTCAAAAAAAAAATCAATTTTTAGACCACAACAGAGACATCATCTACTGCTTCTGAGGCTACGGTAACGGATGAAGATTGCACCACCGAGTATACGGTATTTTATAAAAGTTAAATTAGAAAAATGCCATTTAAGGAAAGCCCAACTACCACTAAAAACCACGAAACCGAGGTAACCACGTTAAAATCGCCAACATTTTCTCATAAAACTTTTTGTTGTCGTCTTTCAGTGGTTACGGTACTTTGAGAGCCATGTACCAAATAAAGGTTCATTAAAGCCAAAAATCTGAAATTTTACATAAAATTTTAGGAAACATTAATTTTCAAAATAAAATTCACGCCTAATTTTTTTGTTTCTAGGAAACAAGCCCAGAATCGACGACAACACATGAAGACTGCACGACAGACTATACTACGGTAGATTAATTTTTGCCTGTTCAAAAATATTGTAATCAGACCCAGGTTCAATGAAAGTTACTGCAGTACTGTAGGAAAACCCAGTGCGGTAAAAGCCCTATAATAAATAAAAATAGGCCCTATGAAAATTAAGTTTTAGGATTCAACAGCAATATCATCTACTGATTCCAGCACTACGTTAGAGGCGGACTGCACCACTGACTACACGGTATTTTTTAGAAGCAAAACCTAAGGCAAAAATACAAAAATTCGAACTGGTGAAACCGATTTTTTGAGGAATCTTCTACTCCTATTAACGCAGATACTGAGGTAATACAGGAAAATAACAATTAATCAGAACGTTCAGTCCACCGTAAATAGTTCACCCCCGGTATCCACTACCATTACTGGCGCCACCACCCAAAACATGGTAAATACAATTTGAAACAAAAGATTCTTTTAGGATAGTACAAGTGAGGACTGTACCACCGAATATAAGGTAAATATTATAACGTTAATTTAAGAGCCAATTCCATTTTAAGGAAACTACAACTTCTGCTGATACAGCAAGTGTGAGTGATATTTGGTTTAAAGGCTGGGATTAAAGTCTATTTTACCCACAGCCGAACTTTAGATTTTTCAAACGCAACTATTTTTATTTTCCATTATGAACTGCTAGAGCTGCACTTAATGAACCAATTTTTTAGACTACCTCAGAAACATCAACTGGGTCTGAGACTACGCCAGAGGAGGATCGCACCACTGACTACATGGTATCATAAAAATTAGAATTTAAACATGTGGTTTTTGCAGGAAATAACAACTACGGGTGCTGAAACCCAGGTTCCAATTCTAGAATTGCTTAAAAATTAAATTATAGACAACGGTAGCCGTAGAATCGACCACGGAAAGTGGCTACAGCACGCAAACTGAAACGCTCAAGACAACAACAGAAGAGGACTGTACCACCGAATATCCGGTAATTCCTTGAAAAAAGGGCTGGAAAATTGATACGCCATATAAAGCACCTCAATTCTTTTCATTTTCAGGAAATGACAACTTCACCTGATGCGGTCACTAATACAGAGGTCAAAAAGCAATTCCGCATACTTATACTTTATCTTTTAGCCCTCAACGACATTGGCGGCTGAGACTACCGAAGCGGAAGATTGTACGACTGAATATCCGGTATCTAGACGAAATATCTACATCTCTATTGGCTCGTACTTAATTTGGTTGCGTAAATTCGCGATCTAAGCGTCCCTACAAAGCCCTCCATATCCTAGTCTACCGTCACCGAGACAACAGTGAGGTCAACGATCCCAAGCACCACCGAGGAGGACCTGAGCGATTGCGTGGTAATATACTCATGAAAAAGTAGTCAATCGTAAAATCCCTTCTCAAGTGCTCGCTGCTAGCCTGCCCTGAAATATCTAAATGAAATTTCAGGAGTCCTCAACTGTCCGATCCGAGATACAAAATGTAAGACAAGCCATTTTGCGTTAAAATTAATCATTTTACAGGCCGCGATCGAACCCAAAGTCGAAGACTTAAGAATGGATCTCCCCAGCAAATTCATCTTCCGCCCACAAACTTTCAACGCCTTCAATCGAGCCGCGGATGCTAGTTTTCACGCAAATCCTGGACCGCGAACCTAAAAGCGATAAAGCAGCACGCATTGTTGTATAACACATCTTTTTTCACTTATTCTCAAATTTACGGAATGCATGAATTTATTGCCGCAATCGCAAAATATTACCCGACATTGTTGCGAACAATCACAAAGCAGCTTTAGATCAACGGGGGAATGAGGGTGCACCGAGAAGCAGAAAAATGGACGACACATAGCTGGTTATTTCTAGTACACAGAGAAGTATCGAGACGAGGTTCTTAGTTCGGAGGGTGGGTCGGCTTGAAGGCGGGAATGCGCGAATTGCCCATCTGAAGCGGACGGGGAAGACGGAGGGCCGGCAGCGTTGGCGTGATGGGGCGCGCTTCTGAAAAGGGAAGGTTTGAAAGATAACAAAAAAACGGCCCCAAAACTTTTTGCTTTAAGACAGGCCGCCCGTAGTTAACTCTCCTCGTGTGTGCCTTAATTGACGCCCCGAAACGCCAACCAAATCGGCGTGATGTTATGTAAAAATGCCTTTTCGGGGCGCCAGACGTAAGGAAATACGGTATGCCTTTGAGATAAAATCCTAACCTTGCGGCTTCACTTCAGCCTTCGACTTGTTCGTGGGAGGCGCAGAAGCCTGGCGATTTTGCGTCGAGAGCGGGCGCGCGACAGCTAAATACAGGCTACATTTGAAACTTCAATAATACCTGGCCTAACATTCGGGCGGGCCGTCGCTTGAGCCACGGGTTTGCTGCTGCTCGGCGCCGAGTTAATCGGTCTTGCAGGCAATGCGGTGGTGGGTGGAGGACGAGCAGGAGTAACGTGGTTACTAGCCGAAACCGGCTTCCCGACCGAAGTGGCAGCAGCGGGTGTCGGCTAAAACAAATGTTATGCTCCAGAAACTTTGGCTCACGCGACGGGCGATGGGAGGGCTGCACTTCTTGCCGGCTGGCTGGGGGTGGGCCGGGGGGTGGCTCTTTTTTGCCGGTTGCTGGGGTCGAACATTGGCGGTGGGGGCTGCCGGCTTGGCTTTGTTGGGGGGAGTCGCAGCCTTGGCGCGCTGGTCATTGGCACGAAGGATGGCAGGCGCCGCCACATTGGCTGCATTCTCGGCGATGAGCTTCGCACACGCCTCGTCAATCTAAAACGAATGTTCAAAAAATAAAAGTGAAAAGCCAGCTAGTTCAGTAGTCTATACCTTTGTCTTCTTCGCAGCTTCGAGGTCGCCGAGGAGTATGCTGAAGGGCCCCTCACCCGTACAGCGCTTGATTGCGCCCAACGCCGAGCAGGCTGAATCGCGCACTTCACTGTCCGCATCGTTCGCACGCTAGAATCAAAACGAGAATCCAGACTAGAAGTCAGTATTTACCGAAGCCAAAGCTGGGATTAGAATCTTAACGAGCTCGATTTTCAGAGTCCCTGTGCTGTGTTGGGCGAGATGGCGGGCCAAGAAAGAAGTTGTCTAAAGAGGCAGTAAACCAGAAACGGACATCAAGCGAACCTGCAGCTTGACGGCTGGGTTGGACGAGTTGAGCGCAGTCACAGCAGGCTCGAGCACCACGTCAAGGGGAGCAGAGACGGCCACCGAATCAACCAGCTCCACCAAGCGATCCTTGAGCACTGACTTCTTCTCTTTGAACTTATCCAGAATCGGAGTCATTGCCTAAACAAAATTTGGTCGCCAATAAGGTCAAAACCACCTGCAATGCATATGGGCCAAACCCAGTACGGAGACCTTCACTGAGAATGTAGAGACATGAAGCTGCCGTGGCGGCCACATTGATATTGATGTCCTTGGCGACAACCTGCAAAAGAGAAAACGTGCAAGCTAATAATACTCATTCTACTATGTCAAGTCGCCAGCGTTCGTGAAGCCTTTTTCAACAGCATACCTTTATCAAACCAGGGATGACAACGTTCGAATGTGCGGGGTCCGGCTTGATTCGTTGCACGTCTTTGAGCGACCCCAAGAAATTGTCCAACACCTCTTTCCGATCTAAAACAAAGATTAGCAGAGCCTGCAGTTTTGAACACACCTTGCCATTTCGAGCTTCCTAGCATCTCTTCCCAGTTCTTAGGCACGGCCGCCCAAACGTTGACGGGATCGAAGAGCGTCCATGGATCGACGCCTTCCACGGCAGCTTCAGGGGCATCGACTGGTTCGGAGGTCGGGCAGCTGGCTTCGCCTTCGCTTGAGGGGCCAGCTACGGGGACGCAATTCTTCGCTGCGCAATACTCCTTGTAAGCCTCGGCAGCGGTCTTACAGGCTTCTTCGATCTGAAAAACGCAGATGGTTGGAAGAAGCGGATCTCAAAGAAAAATACCGGTTCATTCGAGCTAGCAGAATTAGTCAAATAGCGATGAAGTAGCAACACAGTACCTTTCCCATCTTTGCGGCATCTTGGGTCAACTCCTTGAGCATCGGCTTCAGTGCCGGGCCGATAAGACGCTGTGTTGAGCCCAAAGCCTCTAATGCAACGTCACGCACCTCACGATCTGCATCAGATGCGTGCTGAAAAAGGATATTTAGGAAAGCAATTCGGAACGCACCTTGACAACGATGGGAACGATTTGCTTGATAAAGTCCATGGGTGGGCCGGCCTGCTTGTTCAGAGTGTTGGCGACGAACTTCGTCAATAGTTGCTTCATTTGTGGATTGGTGTTGGCGAGCGCCTTCTGCAGATCGGCCACCAGCTTTTCGGGCGCGGTCTAGGTACGTTTGTATATCGGAAGATCAAAAATTTACCCATTCCGCTATCGAGTCAAGGCAGGCAGCAAGGGGCTCTCGGACGGATGCCTTCTTGTCCTTTGATTTATTGAGGAGTGGCTCGAGTAACTAAACGAAATCCCATCAAATTCTGTCAACACAAATGCTTACCATTGGCAGGAAGCCCGTGAATTTTGAGCGCAATCCACTCGAAAGCATTTGCAGAACGTTGATGGCAACAGCGACTACGTTGATGTTACTGTCGCGAACGAGAATCTATAAAAACGGTGAAGTGCCCAAAAAAGATGCTTACCTTTTTCAAGTCATCCATCAATTCCCCGTAGATGGTGAGTGTTTTGATCGAAAGTTTCGGGTGCTTCTGGAGGAGTCCCGCCAAGCTATCCAGCGCCTCCTTCCTTTCTTGCCATTTTGTTGAAGCGAGCAGTTCCCTTTTGTCCGCCGGCCACATGCCCATCACGTCCGTTTCATCCAGAAAATCCCATGGATCCATCCTGAAATTCAGTAATCTTCTCGACCTAATGCATGACAAGAGAAAGAAATAGCAGTGGAAAAAGCCGCCCCATTTTTGAAAAAAATGAATTGGAGTGCATGGTTGTCATTGCGAAACTGATGAACAAAAATTCGGTCCCATTTTCAAATGCGACCAAGAGGCGCCATCAGAAGCCGGAAAGTTGAGCAGTCGATAGTTTCTTCAACGGAAATTGGACAAAGCTGCATGCGGATAGGTAATTAAGCCACGGAAACTATAGAATGCTCTCCTAGAGGACGATCATCGTCCAAGGGCTATCCCGCTAGTGTAGTCTGTAGTCAGCTGGCATGCCCTGCCATCCTGCCATCAATGAGCAGTTTCAGTAAATCCCGTAAATGAAATGAAACAGAAATTCTGAAAAACGAATCCTGGTAATGCCACTGGAAGACGGAATTCTATACAACCGAAACATTTATTAAAGCACCCTGTAAACGGAAATGGCCCAATATCGAGTAACGTGCACGAACAAATGAAAACACGAAAAAAATAAATACAACAATGAATAGCACAAGATTTCAAGCGTTGATGCGACGATCGGCGAACTTCGAATGCTTGTAGCGCAGTTCCGTCTCAACCTGGCCCAAATCGAAGCCGACACCGGTGCCGCGCCCGAAGAAGTCCTTGCTGAAACGAACATTCTATTGAGAAGCGGAAGGGTCCACTTACGCGTATTGCATGACCATCCGGCGTCCGCGGTCGGCATACTTGTTGGCAATGTAGAGCGGCGACGGCAGAGATGTGGGCATGTTGACAATCTGGTGCATGAAGCACAGGTTGTAGGTGAGACGTTGGAAGTCATCTGTCGACCAGCCGCTCTCATCGACCAAAGCCGTGTACCGAGGCGTCATGGCGCTACCCTAAAAACAAAATTTCAATTCGACTGGAAAACAGTACCTGGAGAGCAATGTGAGAGTTCAAGTAGAACTGGCGGAACTTCGGATGGGTGAGGCCAGTGTCGACAATTGTGCCCGGAGTCACATTTTGATCGAAGGGGCAGTCGTGGGCGTTGCTCTTGTAGATCCGCACGCAGTGATCCTTGGAGACGATCACGTAGGTGAGCTTGATTTCGTCTTGGCTTGAGCCCGCGACCATGCGCATCGTCTTCCGGATCATTGGCAGCTCGTGGGTGCGAAGCTAAATAACAGTTTAACGCGCCCCCCGAAAAAATACCTTGTCAAATTCTCCTTCCGGCACACCGCCACGATAGATGATCAACTGCTTCGGAAGCGGCCGAGAGCCCTTGGTCAGCTTTCCCATCGTCAGCCACTCGTTCAGCGCCTGTTCAACGACCAAATGGCCGATCAACTAAAAAAAATGGTTGACAACCAGTAAAACAATACAAACCTGGCTGTCGTTGTGCTCCGAGGCCGCTACGTGGAAGTCGCCGACGAACGCCCCTGGGTGCTCAGTGGTGTTGGCGGAGTAGCCAACAATGATCGGCATCTTGACATTGTCTCCGCTGTCCAAAGAGATTCCAGAGGGCGGGGCGACGGCACCGATTCCCAGAACAAGGACGTCCGCAGTGTCGAGCAAGGTATGGCCGTTGCTAAACAACAAATCAACTGGTTTTTTTAAATATCCTTACATCTTCAGAGTATAGTTAAGGCCGCCCAGCTTCATGTTGAACTTGTTGATGATGTTTTCGATTGTCGTCGCTTTGCGGCCACTCGGAAGTTCGCCAGCCGTCTTGGACTTGATGTTCTGGGTAGCGATCTCGTAGCGGCGCTCCAGAATCTTGATCTTGTCTAAAACACAATTCAAAAAATATTTCGAATGCAAGCACCTTGAATGAGTGTCTGATCGTCGGTGACAAGGAAGATGAACTCGAGTCCTTGCTTCTTGGCTTGCTCGAAGGCTTTCTCCAGCTCATGTTGTTGAATGCCCTGCAAATAAAAGTCCAGAAGTTTTATTCGACATACCAGGCTCATTTGAGGATTTCCCATCATCAGTCCCTTGCTTTTGGCGCCTTGGATGATGTGCAGCATACCATCCTCCATGAGCTTGTGGTTACGGCAATCGATCGAGACGAAGCCCCATGGGACCACGTGGCCGTTTTGGAGATAGCGCATGTTGCGCTCAGTACGCCATTTGCCTAAAATCAAGCTCAAAGTCGCCAAAAAATCAAACCGGTCGAGGGATCAATCCGGAACTGATGACCGTTGTGGTAGTTGGCAGACACCGGCATGGGAAGGCAACGCGCATCGATCGTCAAAGGGGCTTCGATGAATCGGACACCTCCGTCGTCGCTGCGATCCTTATCCAGCAGTCCCATCTTCTGGATTCCTTGAACGACAATGCGTTGGCGTCGGAACGGCAAGACAGCACATTCCTAAAAAATGGCTTCGAAAAAGCGAACTTGAATATTACCTTGGTGGTCTTGCTCATCTGTTCAGCGGTCTGCTGCGGAATCGTCACCCGCTGGTTCTCGATAACATTGCAAACTTCCATGGGGAAGAAGGTCTCTTTCTTGGCCTGCACGACGACCAGTGGGGCGAGCGGGGCACTAAAGCTATGCCCTGTAAAAAAATCGTAGACTTACTTCAGGACAATGTTGTATTTCGTCTTGTAATACTCCCGCACACTCATCTTCCCATCCGGCAGCGTCAGTTCGTAGTTCGAGTCCATCCTAATGCCGATGATCTTGTACGCCTTTGGCTTCTTGGTGTGCGTCGTTTCGATCATAACACCTAAACGGAAATGCAGACCGGATTACAACAAGAATACCTTTCAGCACAGTGTTCAGCTTGTCGAGATAGGCGGGGTTGCAGCGCTCCTGGAACGTGAACCGTGGCAGAATGGCCATGGCCTTCTCAGGCAATGACATCTTCGAATGGAACGCGCTTTTCTTAGCTAAACAAAAGTTTCGCTGGAAACAAGAGCAAACCGTCAATGGCAACGGCAAAATTGGCCCGGTCGCGTCCCTTTGGGCCTTCCACGAGCTGAACCGACATGCGGACGCCGGGCTTCAACTCCTTGCCCTCCGGAAGCTAAATGGCACAATCACGATGCGCGAGGGCAATCCACCTGACGAGCCTCTTCCTGCAGATTGAACGTAGCAGCGTTCTTGAAGAAGACCTTTCCTTTCTCGAAGCACAAGAACAGGTCGCTGAATCAGAAATACCTTTGAAGGCCCATAAACACAAACCGGTTCTTCAGAACATGCTGCATGAAATAGATTTGGAAGTATTGGCACAGCGAGTGGTCGTTGGAAACGACAGGCGAGCTGTTGTCTTGCATCTTGTAGGTTGAGAAGTCGAGCGGCAGGCCAGTCAACTCTCGAATGACGACCTCAACCAGGCGAACGCCTTCAATCTTCTCGGCGCCATCGGGCTTGTGCAGAAAGCGGAACTGACGGCCGCCACCCTCCTAACAAAAAATATAATTCGATGCCGTACCCATACCTTGATGACAAGGGGCTTCGAGCTGAAGAGGATGGATTGTCCATCGTAGTAGGCCGAGCGGTCGGCGAAGACATCAGGGTGCTTCTTCATCAACAGATCCATCACGGCAAACGCCTTGCTCTTGCGCTCGGTGGCGTAAGCACTAAAAATGTAGATCGAAGCCCTAAATAAACATACTCATTGCCACTTTTCTTGGTGAGGAAGATCGGCTTGATTTCTGGGTCGTCGAAGTCCTCGATGTCGTCCCGCTCCGAGCAGACCATCGTCACATCGTAACTAAAAAGAATTATCTTGTTAAGAACCATCGAAATGCTCTTACCGACGAACATTGTCGAGTGCGGCGGTGAGCACCAGGCCGAAGACGTTCGATTGAACCTTGACCGGGGTGCCGACGGTGCCGGGGGCGCCTGGCAGCGGAGCATCTTCGATGGGGCCAGCAGGGGGAAGGCGATTTCCCAGTTCAGCCATGCTTCAGATAGATACACAACAAATAGTCGATATACCTGGAAAAGAGTGGAGTTATACCTGAATTAGCAATTCAATACAGTGAAAAATTGGGCAGAAAGTGAAAGAAGTCAAAGGGAAGAGAATGATGTGCAAATTAGGGCAAGGTTGAAATAGTTTCCGAATAAGGGTCAACCTTTTGAAAATGGAGGCAAAAGGGCAAAAATTCGGGCTCGCGAAAAGCAAAACTGATCGGAATGAGGCAAAAGTGGCAAAAGCCGTTTCGTGATTTCCGGCCGGAAATGCAAATCGATACCGTAACCACCGTAAGAGCGCCCCGGGACACATGTCTATTGGAGTGTCACGGAGCACGAGTTTCAGATTATCGGATTTTGCGACCGAATTTGAAAGCAGGAGGTCGAAAAAATAAAATAAAACTATTATTTAAAAAATGTTATTTTATTGTTTTTTTTGTTGTCGATAAAGCAGCATTGTGATTCCATTGCTAGCGTAGAAGGAACTAACAACAGCAATCGCGACTCTGACGTGGTTTTTTTCAAAATTGTTTACGTTGCTTGAAAGTTGGAGTCAAAACTGTTTTTTAGCTTTTTCGCTCCTCTCCAAAGCCTACAAAACGCTTATAAATTCGGTGCGGTTTTAGCGCAGCTTTTTCTTTGGTATGTCCGCGCTCCCAATGCTTCTGTTAGCGTTTTTGTTTTCCAAAAGCTTTTCTGGAGCTAAGTAACCCTATTAACTTCTTTTTCTGGTTTGATAAGGCTCGGTGAGACTTGGGCAGGGCGCAGAGATGTAGCATGCTTTATAACCACGCTAGGGCATTCCCGTGTCTTGATTCTCTACCTCGATTCAAGCATTCCAATGCCTCTGAAACAGTCTACGTTTTCAGGAATGTCGATCCGGCAGAAATGGACGACAGAGGACGACCTCGATGCCATCGACTTCATCTACAAGTATGGGTTAATCCTACCTCATTTTTATGTTCCTTTAGTTCGTTACGATCGAGTGACTTGGAGCTGAGAAGAGCGGCCCGGACCTGTTTGGGCAAGGGCATCTGGGTCAGCTACGTCGCCAAATATCCAACGCGCGGAATTACTTGGGAGTCGGCTCAGTCAAGGTATTTTTACGGATGATAGCTTTTGCTTGCGCCTTGATGCCGAAGTTCCTGAATAATAACTCAATTTACAGATTCCGCAAGCAAATTCTGCCACGTCTGCACACCTACGGCTTAGATGACGATAAAATGAAGTGCTTGTTGTTGCGGCTCAGCCTCGAGCTTTCCCCTCGGTTGAAGAAGAGGTGAGGATTTAGACAGCGACGACGCACTCATTTTTCAGCATTGAGAACACGTACAGGGTCGCGATAAACACAACCAAGAAAGGCGAGGTCCTCGACATTGTCGACATTAAAGGTTCAGCGACGGGTGGTTTGGTCATTTAGTTTTAGTGGACTCGTCATCGAGCAACGACACGGTACGGATATCGTCTACGGGATCAGAAGCTACTACGACGGTATTAATTTATTGTATAAACGGGATTTTATGTTTTTTTAGGGGCTAGGAAGCTCTGATGATGTCGTTCCGGACACGCAAGCATTCAATGACAATGATATGTGGTCACAAAGTGGCTCTTCGTCTAACATCGAGGTTGTGCGGGAAGATTACGCCCCTCCGACGCCCGAATTCGATTCCGAAGGGAGCAATTTCCATATGGAAGAAGTGATTCAGGAGCAAGACGACTATGACATGTCGCCGCTGGTATTGTTTTTCCTCTTGGGTTCAACATTGTTTAGGAAGAAAATGAAAGCGTGACGGTGGCCCCACCTGAAGACTGGTACCTCCCAATTGGCGATTTCGTTCGACATCCAGCTGTTGCGCCACCGGCAGTCACCAGGGAGATTCGAAGCACGATGTTGGTGATTTTAATAAAATTGGTGATTTTAATAAAACGAGTCGGCGCTTTTTTGGGTTCTTTCGCGTTATCGGGACCGAACTTTTTTGTGTAGGTCTTCAAACGTCTTGCAACTTAATTTGAAGTGTTTTGGTCACTTTGTTAGTAAAATATATCTATATTTCAATTAGAATAAATACCTAAAAACATGTTTCACACGAAAAATCGATATTTGTAAGGTTTTTTTATCCTAAAATTTTGTAAAGTTTTCACGTTTAGGGATCGGAAAAGCCCATTTAGAAACACTTAAAGGGATACCCAACCTTTCCGAGAGTCAAAAAGCAAAAACCATGCCGCGGGTGGGGGTCGAACCCGGGACCCCCGTTTTGTAGGCAAGGATGCTATCCATTAGGCCATAGTGGCAAGCCATTGGGCGGCATGGGGACGCCACAAGAGGGAAAGGGTCCGCGGCCTGTGCGGCAGTGGGCTGCCGTTACCGCGCGGAATTCGCGCGTCAGTTGTACTGTCCGGAATATATAACTATATATTTGCCGCCAAAACCTTGGGTATCCCTTTAACTATATATTTGAAAAATTAGGCGCTATGAAAAAAAGTTGGTTCCCCCTCCCCCCCGATAATGCGAAAGAACATCGTTTTTTGTGTTGCCTACTACCATGTTTTATTCCACTTTTAAGAATGGCCGTGCCGAGAGAAGAGATTATTCTGGCCCTCTGCGACGTCAACTCCGTAAATGTGGCGGCAACGATCGAGACAAATGTATTGACGAGGGACCTGTTTTCATGATATTTAGGCGGAAGTGCAGATGCTCATGGATCAAAGCGGCCCTGATGATCTCGGGCAAAATGATGAGCCTAGTCTCGTGGTCCCTGCGACCGCGGACGATTCATCCTCGCCGAATTGCTTGATCGTAAGGAATTCCGGGTCCAACCTGATAAGAATGATTTTGAGGATGATTCGGTTGTCGACGAAGCGTCAACCCTCAATGCATCACAGCAAGACAACGGCTTTTCCTCGGACGTCACTCCGCCAAGCATCCAGTTGCTACTGGTCCCTAAGCCATTGGAAGTCCCAAAGGTTGTTTTTATTTCTAATTTTGTATATTTTGTAGGATTGGCTGGAGGAGGCGAAGCGGCAAGAGATGGTGAAAAAATTGGCGTTTGTGCTGAACGGACTCGGACTGCTGATGAGTGCGTCCGAAGCAATCGAGGTTTGTACCTCGTTTCTGTTTGTTCAATTATTGCTTTTAGCTGACACGCGATTATGAACACGCCATCGCCGAAACCAGCGAGGACATCGTGGCCTACACCGCCAACATCGAGGCGATCATCCTGGACCTTTTGGCGAAGCGCGAGACACCGCTTTGCCTTGATGCTCCCCCACTCGCCATCACGTAACTTACTCGGCTCTTAGTCTTCAAACCTTTTTTAGGATGTTTGAGCATCTCCCGAATCTTCAGCCTTCACCGTTAGCACATTCACTGGTAATTTGATTTTGCTGATCTTATCGTTTTTGTAAAAAAAAAAATTGATTTTCTACAAAAATGACCGGTTTTGACCAAAAATTCGATTTTTTTAAATGTTTGTCTACTGTCTATTAAGTTACTAGATTTATACGAAAAAAATACTCCCCCCTGTAATGCGAAAGAGCCCGATTTTTTAGGAATGGCACGCCCAACTGCAGCCTACCGACCGCCGCGCGCTTCTGATCGAATGCCTTGATGCTTTGAAAGATACTCCAAAGGTATATTTTTGCCTTTATTATTCATTTTTTTGCTCCTCAGGGTATCGTGGCCAGGATGTACGCGTATGTGAGCGAATGCGAACGTAGCCTGTGCGATACCTGTTCCAGTCTGGTAAAAGTCTTTTTATTCGCCCAACCCTGTTTAGGAAGGCTATCGCAGAAAGATGGCGCAGCTCCGTCAGACTTTGGCAAAGACGAACGGGCTCTATGCCGCGACTCAAAAATAATACTCGATACCATCCCTTTCTCGCTGATTAATTGACTCGCAATAATTTTCAAATTATCGAATTGTGACTTTAATTATTTCCGCCTCGTCCCTACTGCTCTCAGAATGATGAATGTGATTTTTTCGAATAAATGTCAACGTTTTGGTGTTGCCGCGCTGGAACAAAGGCCTTATTTTCGTGTGGATATTTGCGCATATAATTAATGTTCAAGGTCTCGAAAACTACTAAAGGTCAATCGTATTATGATTGCAGTGATGCGGAAAAATGTTTATTTATGGGTAGATATTTACAATTATTGGGGGTTATTGTTAGTTTTCGTGTTTGGCGATGATTTCGGGAGGGCTTCATTCATCGTAGCCACGTCCCCCGTAGACCCCATTGTAGGGATAGCCGCTTCCGTAGACACCTCCCAAGCCCGAGCGATAACCGCCTGAATTTTTTTGTTAAAAATTAATGAAAGTGTAATCATATAAATTAAAAGAAAGCTAGTTTTATGCCTTTCAGAATAATTAATTTTTTAGGTGTGAGTGCGGTAAATTTCATTTAGTTTAGACATTTCGTTACAATTCTACATAGCTTAGCTTACCCAATCCGTTGTAGCCGTTCACATAGCGAGTCCGGTCGATGATTGAGAAGGCTGGGGACACCTGAAGATGATGTTAAGTTTCCGCTTTTTTTTTGGTGCGCACTGGGCTTTTAAAAGGCCGTTTGCGAGCCATCCGAACTAGGCTTGGCACAGTCTGTTTTTCGTCCCCGCTTTTTTGACGCCATCGGATAGAGCATGGTCGAATTAGTGGGGCTGCATAGTTTTGAAAGTTTAAAAAGTTTAATTTGGGGGTTTAAATGGACGTTGAAGTTGCAGACCCCCAAAAATTATCTTGGAAGTTACTTAATCAAATTCGCTGAAAATTTGTGCCAATACCTAGTTTTGGACGGGGATCATTTCTCTAATACATCGCAAAGCGTGAAAATGGCCGGAACATAGGAATATCGCGTACATAATATAGTTTATGGGAATTTTCGTTGTGAAGGGTTGTTGGCTGCGCGCTGTAACTAGCATAGAAAGATGCGCAAAAACTTTCTGCATCGAATGGTGTATCATTTAGCGCGCAGACAGTAACCCTTCATATTCAAAAACGCGATTTTTAAACGGGAGGAAAACTGGTACGTCCTCCCGAGGTTTCCATATTTTGAAAAATCGGAAACGGGTATAGGGTCTAAAGATAAAACTGTATCCATTGCAAAAAAGAGCAAAAAGAAATTCCCTTCCCACTCGGAAATGGCGATTTGCGGGGATCGAACTCGCGATGGTCCGCCTGGGGGGCACTGGGGACAGCCGCTAGTGGGCGCCGCCACCTCCCCAGGCGAACGACCCGAGTTCAATCCCAGCCCCCTCTCAAAAGTCGAATTTCTTTTTGCTCTTTTTTGCGATCGTGCGATTGGACCCTCTAGATGAGCGTCCATGTCTTATTTTTCATAAATATTATAATTTTTTCTTTTTGGTACCTTTTAAGCCCTTTTTTTGAATATGAAGGGTTACTGTCTGCGCGCTAAATGATACACCATTCGATGCAGAAAGTTTTTGCGCATCTTTCTATGCTATTTACAGCGCGCAGCCAACAACCCTTCACAACCAAAATTCCCAAAAACTGTTTTATGTACGCGGGATTCCTATGTTCCGGCTATTTTCACGCTTTGCGATGTATTAGAGAAATGATTCCCGCCCAAAATTAGGTATTGGTCCAAATTTTCAGCGAATTTGGTTAAGTAACTTCCAAGATAATTTTTGGGGGTCTGCAACTTCAGCGTCCATTTAAACCCCCAAATTAAACTTTTTAAACTTTCAAAACTATGCAGTCCCACTAATTCGACCATGCTCTATCCGATGGCGTCAAAAAAAGCGGGGACGAAAAAACTGTGCCAAGCCATATTGGGGTCTGTTCGGGCGACTCGCGGACGGCCTTTTAAATGCGCCGTCTTTTAGCGTCTAAATTTGTAAACCCATCAGCGCAAGGTATCTGATACTCTAGTTCGCTTTTGACTGTTTGCTAGATGAATCAAATTTTTTCAACCCACATTCCTCCTAAATAGTTCGTTTTTGAGTTATTTGGCCGGTCTGGATTTGAAATACTTCATTTTCCTTTCCTTGTAACCATTAAGATTAACCCACCAGCATAAAGGCGAGGACGAGGACGAGAATAATGGAGATGGCTTGCATGTTTTGGCAACGAGAAATTGGTAGCTTGAGGGCTGGGAGGCGACCCCGAATTTATACCCCACCCGGTCAATGGGTGTTTATTTGCCGTTTTGCGCGTCTTGGAATTTTGGCAAATAGTCGCGCCGTTTGTGCGACAAATCTTCTTCGAAAATATCATAAAAATGAGCTCGGCTATGCCGATTATCAAGTTTTAGAAGTTTGAGAACTAGTTTTTGGTAAATATTTTTAGGGCAAGTGATGCTGGTGCTGGTGTTGGTGTTGTTGGTTTGGCGTGATTTTTGGGCAAGGGTTGATAAAATATTTATTTCATAGTTTGGAGAAGCGGATCTTTCCACTTGGAGGAGAGTTATTTGCCGACTGAAAATTAGGGTATATAATTTTGTATAGGTTTTGGCTTTCCTTTTTTGGCCTATCATCCTGTAGGATCCCAATAATGAAACAGACACCTGTTATATAGCGTTTTATGTTGTTTTTAAGTCTAGAAAATTATTAAAATTCCCAAAAAGCTTGTTTTTGGGCGAAAATGGTTGAAAATTTTAAATTTTCTTTTGGATTTTCTAAGAATTTTTGGTTCTTTAGGATTCGCGGGAGGGACCAATTTTTTTTCGTGGCGGTCCCTGTTGGCCTAGTCATCAAATATAAAATTTTTTCACATGATTTTTAGTACGCAGTGTAGTGTAGTATTTTTTAATTTCAAAAAAAGTTAGAAAAATGTGAAAAGGTCGAAAATTCGGTGATTTTGGGTTAAAAAAAATCATTTTTCGACCTAAAATTAAAATTTGTATAGTTTTTTTTGCTTAGGAATAGTTACAAACAATTTAAAAACGCCTTCGCCATTTCTAAAAAAATTTGGGCTTTTCCTAGCCCAGCAAAATCCATAATAATGCCTTGCCCGTCTCTTCCAAGTGACAAACCTGGGCCGACTTTTTGCTGAGGCGCTGTGGTTCCCAGAGCCGGACCAGGCCCGCCAAATTGCACTAAAAATGGGGGTTTAAAGGTAAAATGAAGTCAAAAATATGTTTTATAAAAAGGGCTAATTACCTGGGGCGAGCGTGGTGTCAAGCGCCGGTCCGGGTCCTTAATTTTTTTAATTGAATTTTTAGGCCTTTTTTAACCTAACGTTTCTTGTAAATAGAAAAATTATCGAAGTAATAACTATAATATTATAAGGACACTTTTTAGAAAAACCGCTAACTCACCTCCAGCGCCGCGACCTCGGCGCGGGTGGAAGCCGCCGACTATAAATTGCGAGTTTATTTGGTATTTTTAGGTTGCGATTATTTTTAAATTTTTAGTCTTTTTAAATTTAATTTAGCTATAAATTTGGGGTTATTCGGTATTCTTTGATATGACTACTTTCAGTTTTTTGGACTTTTTATGTTTAGTTTAAAACTATTTTAAGCGTTCTAGAAATTCATTCTTAGAAAATTGTGAAAATAATGTGATTAATGTATCGCGGTTGGTCTTGCAAGTTCTCAAATCTTCCGCCCTCACCTGGTCCGACAAAGTGGCCGGCTGTCGTTGGGATGCCCCCGCCGGAGCCGCCGAAACGGACTGCAATAGTATTTTTTTACATATTTTTAATAAAATCTTTGATTTTTAAACTTAAACTTAAATTTTTAAATTTAATGAAATTGATATATTTTTAATTAAATTAAATTAGCGATTTGCGATCAGTGTGCCCAAGATTATCTTGTCGACATTTCGCTTTTTGAAACCTTTTTTCGGACTTTATTCACCTCAAACTTGTAGAAAATTGAAATTTCGACGCTCTAATTTCCGACAAATTAAAAACAAGCTTATTTGCTACCTTGTTTTATTGAAAAAATAAAGGATATCTGTTCAGGTTAATTCTATACTTTTTTATTCCCCTACCTGGCTCAAGGGTGGTGGTGTAGGCCCCTCCAATATTTGGGTGCTCGACTGGAAATCGACATTAAATTTGTGTAAATCTAATGTTTTAAATTTTGGATTGATTTCAGAAATTAAATCATAAATTTTAAGGTTGCAAAATAAAACGTACGTGGTTCAAGCGTGGTGCCAAGGGCTGGTCCTGGGCCCTGTTGGTTGACTAAAATATTTGAATATAATTGTAGAGAATTTGCAGTGTAAAAGGTAACTAAATACTTTAGATGAAAGGGAAAGAAAAGAAGGTTAAAAGAAAAAGAAAAGATGAACAGTAACTTTAGATGATTTCTCACTCGTTGTGTCTCAGGATTACACTTGTAAAAATTAATTTAATTGTTTAAAATTTGAAACCTTTTTATTTTTGCAAAAACGATTTTATCGATCGCCGTTCGAAGCGATTTATTAGGTTTCACATAACTTAAGTTAAACTACATAAAAATGTAATAGACCTTCCGAAGGTGAATTGCATGGCTGCGTAATAAATTTACTAGTTTTTGACGTGAAACATTTTATTTGCCTGAAGATTTAGGTGTCAAACTCGTAAACGAAAACTTTTGTGTTTCATTAGCAACTTTCTAATCGTTTATTTTCTAAGAAATTTGAATTACACCTTACGGATTTACTTGGGAGCTCCGTATTACACCGCCTTTTCGTTATTTTCTAGCCTTTTGTAGCTACCTTTGAAATTAATTAAACTGAACTACACTGGCGAGGTCATTTGGCTTGAAAAATCAGCATACCAACCGCAGAAAAAAATCGATTGTCTTTAAAATATAGATAAAAGCACAGTCATATTTAGAAACATCGTTTTTACCACCTTGACGCCGTAAAATGTTACATGTTACATACCTGGTGGGAGGGCTAGGGCGCCATTTCCTAAAAAAATTTATTAATATTTTCAAGCGCTGTTGGAACTGTTCAAAACGAGTTCCATCTTTAAAAATCATAAAATTATATCATTTTCCTCTTCAAAACCTACCGCTCGGAACCTGGAAGAGCGGGACGTCGGTGATCAGGCCACCTAGTTGACTGTCTAAAATTTGGCGATTTTCGAGGTGCATTTGCATTATCGGGGGGTTTCTATATCTAAACGGCAAAAATATTTAGGATTTTTCATGAAAAATCGAAAAGCTAATGTCGAAAAGTAGCTGATGTTTCACCAAAATACAATCTTGCAAAATGTCAAACCGTTTTCAATTTGGGGGTTTTTGCTGTTGCTGGCTTCGAATTAAGCTAAAATCCGCCGGAAATCAAAGGTATCCAGGTGAAAGTTAGAAAGAAAAAGTATACCTGAGATGTCCGCATCGTCAAAAGAGATCGACTGGCCGTTGTCGCCTAAAAAAAACACGCGTCAAAATGTTCAAGAAATGTGTTTTTAAAAAATTAAAAAATAAAAAATCGAAGTGTTATGAGAAATTCAAAAAAAAATTAGATTTAGTCCAATTTGTCCGATTTTAAAGTGATCGATCGGAAAAGAAATGCTTTGGAGAAGAATGTGGCGCAGGGTTTTCCTGAGCCCCCATTAATTTCCAATCGGATGTCCATTTTCTTTTCTCTATAGTTCAAGTGGCAAAACGATCTAAAAAATTTCAAAATTTTAAGAAGGTTGTTAAAATTTGTATCTTGAAAAAGTCGAATAAATCAAAAAATTTTAGCGTTTTTACGTTTTTTGCAAAGAAAAAATGGTTCAGAAACACTTACTCTATTATTGCTAGAGAATCGGCTACTGTAGAAAAGTTTATCCCCTCCACATTTTGATTTTAATAAATTTTTACGCCCTTATTATTCTTATTCTCAGGTTTAAAGGGACGGGCAAGGCGAGACCGTAGCTTTTCTAGGCTACGGATTTGCTGGGTTTAAGCGCCACGCGGACGCAGCTTCGCGGCGCCAACTTGAAGTCGTAACCAATAAGGGATTACAGCGAGCCGGGCCCCTTGCGTGTTGCGTTGCGGAAAAACATATAGAATCCATAGCCCTAAAATCCATAGGTATGCCTTGCCTGTCACTTTACAAATTTGAAAACGCTGCCCACTCACCGGGTCCAAAATGGCTGGCCTTGGTCGGGTTTGCCGGTCCTGGTCCGCCTCCATTGACTGAAAAATTTGAGTTTAAGTTGAAAACTTGTGTTTATATTAAATTTAGGTTCTTGTCCATTATCGGGTGGGACAACATTTTTCCACCAATTTTTCAAATATAATAATGTTTCATTTTCAAATATAAGTTTTTTCTTAACGATTTTTTTACTCTTCTTAAGCGTAAAAACGAGTTTTTTGTGATGGAATTTATAAATTTTGCATTCTTTACGTATTCTTATAATTTATATCTATTCGGATATTTCCTTTTCACCTAAAAATTTATAGAAAAGCTGGGAAAAAGTCGAAACCTACCCGGAGCGAGTGTTGTCCCCAACGCAGGCCCGGGTCCGAATTGCACTAAAAACGTTGGTTTAATCAAAAATCACCGGCTAAATGTTTGTATCTAAATAAAGAATTGAGAACAAACAGCTAAATTCATTCTAAACCATCAGCTTTCGTCATCAGAAATTTTTGTTGTTTGAAAATCTATGTTTCGTATTTATCCAAAACTTTTAAAAAGGGATGCGGCAATACTTCAAAGACTGGCAGATTTCTCCATGGTTCAATAAAATTCTTTAGAAAGTCTTCAAAAATAGAGTTTTAAACTTTAAGAATTTTTTAAAAATAAAGTTTTAAAATTCCTTAAATTAGAGAATTGTAGTGAACATTTAAAAAACTTACAAAAGCCACGTTTGCTGCGCAGGCGATCGTGCAGGCTTGCTGGAAAAAAGCGCGTTTCAAAAAATTGGAAAACCCCGGGTTTTGGCGGTTTGGTAAGTCGCGATTTTACCTTGTACGAGGGTCAGCGAGCCGGCAACGACGAGGAATACGGTCTAAAACAACAACATTTTAATACTTGTAATATTACGGAATTAATGCCCGTAATGACATTTTTTTAAATTAAGGCAAGAAGCGAAACTAAAAATCCTTTACGACGAGTAAATATAAAAAGATAATCTTTATTTTAGTGCAATTTTACGGAAGTTAGCAAAATTAAATTAAATTAAAAATGGATTAGTCATGATATCTTTCTATGATTTAATTCGAATTTCAAACATAAGATTGAAAGAAAGCGAAAAGGAAAATAAAACTTTAGAAGTTAGAACTTTTGGTGTGATTTTCCAAATCTGGTTCAAAATGAATCAAGCAAGCCATTTTGCAAAAAAAATGTTTTCTGGATATGGTGAATTTCGGAATAAATACCTTGAACTAATATCTTTACGACTATGAAGGACTTAAATAAATGAAATTAAAATTAAATTGAATTGATATAGCAGCGCACCTTTTAGCCGAAAAATATGTTTTGTACATTGGATATTTATGGAAGAAATAAAAGCGTAAAACTGGAATCAATACGGAACAAGCGAATAAAGTATACTTTCGAGTTTCAACAAAAAATAATAAGTATAATTAAAATTTAAAAATGTCATTTTTATAAATATGTATATTCCCATCAACTTTTGAGCAAACGAATATAATTCGAGTTAACATAGAGTAATAAAAGATGTTACTAAAACTTAAAAATGCTTTTTATAAACATATATTTAAAATTGTTAAGATTGTTTAAAATTGCAAATTTAAAAACCTTTATTATTGTTTTCCGGCTAAAATTCTACAAAAAAACCCACCTGGGCGCGCATGTTTTGTCGAGCCACCGTTTTCGAAATTCGAAGATATGCTTCCGGTTGAAAAAGCGTGTTTTATATACGGCAAGCTAGCGGTAGCAAAGATTTACGACAGTTCCTCGCCGTCTTTTTACTCTCACGTTCCCGGCGCTCTCTCCCCCTCTCCCAGTTCCCAGGCGTCAAAAATCGGAATTTCCAATGCGTAAATGGGAAGGGAACCGAACTGGGGGAAGCTGTTTTTTTTGGTAAGAGAGGAAAACCAAAGGCATGGTTTAAAGGACCAGGGAAGGCAGACGAAGCCACGCCCCGTTTGTCGGAGCGAGAATGGTAGTGTCAGCATCCCTTTAAAACTTGAACACACCAATAATGAAAAATGAGAGAAAGGGACCGAGAAAGTGTGAGTGAGAGAGAGTGAGAGCGGAAGAGCGAGAGTGAGATAGAGAGAGAGAGAGAGAGAGAGAGAGAGAGAGCGAGAGAGAGCGTGAGGGAGTCAGAGAGAGAGAGGAAAGAGAGCGAGCGAGAGAGGGAGAGGGCAAGAGAGAAAGGGGCGTGGACTTAAGGCATTGACAGATATAGTTCTATTCAAATCTGCCACTTGAATCTGGAATAAAGCTGAATATTCCTGGAAGTTGCCTGTGATTTGCCTAGCAATCAGGCTATTAAACCGCGGCTTTTCGGAGTTTCTGCTGCTCGACTGTTGGCAATATACAGCCTGCCGGCCACCACCTCTGAGACTGGAGACCCAGCCACCTTCGTCATCTGCCTCTTGCTCATCATGGTGGGTTGTTGCTCTTAAGCGACAAGAGCCAGGCATCTTTCTCTCTCTCTCTCTCTCTCTCTCTCTCTCTCTCTCCCCACCAGGGTTGTTCACCGACGGACCCGGATCGGTAAGGATCCGGATCGGATCTGGATCCGGATCCGGATCGGATCCGCAGTAGGATCCGGATCCAGATCCAGATCCGGATCCGCTAGGATCCGGATCCAATGCGGATCCGAGGAAAAAAGGGACCGGAAGTAATATTCTCGATTTTGATGCTGATTCGGTCATGTTAATCGCAAAAATAGATCAGCAAAAATGGCAGAACTGATCTTTGCATCTAAGAATTAGCACTTAACTCGGTTGCATGATCCATTTCCTTGGATCCGGATCGGATCGGATCCGCCCTGGATCTGGATCCGGATCCGGATCCTACGGCGGATCCGGATCCGGATCCGATCCAGATCCAGATCCGGATCCAGTCCGATCCGAAAATGACCAACCCTGCTCCCCACGCATTAATAGGACGAATGGCTGAAAAGTTAGGGCTGGGGGTAAACTAGCCTCTCACTTATTTTTCGCTGGATTTAAAAGCAACAATTTTTGGCCAATTTGTGACGGAAACCCTTGAAACTTTTTAAAAATGAGCTCTTCAGCAAGTTTGGAAAACATTTTTGGAATCGGCAACTAATTCTGCACAAGCTAAGGCTTGGAATCGAATGAAATTTCCATCCTATGTGTAAACACTTTACAGTCAACATCATGCTCCCCATTTCTGCTTTTTTAGGCCATCCCTTCGATGCAAGCCCTCAATGATGAGGACGAGAAGACGTGCCTGGCGTACGACAGGGCGGTGCGCCTGTTCGAAGAGGCGAACGCCAAGTTCCGCGAACGCGTGAGGATTTTGGCTACGGATTGTGGTTCTGGACTGTTAGCGGGGTGTGGCAGGGGGGAACCACTTTCTGTTTTTCCACCTATGCCTACCGGTTGATGATATATTAAGTATTTTTATAGTGTATTTAGCAATTTTTTATTGCTAAAAACTTATCAAACATATTTTTAAGAAATTTGAAAATTTTTGGTCTTTTCCATATATTTTTCACCAAAAAGTAAAACATTTTGGTATATTTTTTTATATTTTTATCTCTAAAAAACGATGTAAAATTCCATAGAGAATGGTTTATATTTTGTTATAGAGCAAATTTGGAGAATTTGGTTCCCTCCCGTTAAGCCCCCCGCTAACAGTCCAGAACCTGGATGACCTTACGCCCTTCCCCCCCCCCCCTCAGCCGTAAGGTTTTTGCTCTAAGTTTTTTTATTTGCCAGTTTTTAGGTTACAGTTATTTACTCAAACTATTACTATATTTTTCGACGTTCTATCGAATGGCATTGAGAAACCCCCCCGAAAAAAATAATAAAAACCATAAGCCGGAATAGGGGTTGTGAAGCCATTTTTTCCGGATATTCGATATTTTTCGACATTCTGTTAACGTTATTCGATGAAGCATCAAAAATATACTCAGAGCTTTAGAGACAGCTGAAAATGAGATAACTAAAGAGAAGAGAAGCGCTTGACAAAAAAGGTCCCCCGCTAATGAACTAGAACCGAATATCAAAATCAGAACCTAAAAAAAATGTGTTTCGGCCTTGATTTTCGAGATTCTGATTTTCGAGGCTCGGTTAGAGTGCAGGGTAAGACTCTAGTTTACCCCCCAGACGCCCCTTTTCTCTGCGCCCTCTCCCCCAGGCCTACTATCTCTTCGCCTGCGCCCTCCCCCCCAGGCCTACTATCTCGCCTGGGGGGGGGTAAACTAGAGTTTAGCCGAGTGCAGTTTAGCCCACCCCCCAGCCGGCGCCCAACTTTGTATCGCGGCTCTCCGTTTGTCTATGGGTGTGTAAAGTATATCAAATTGTTCGCCTTGCTCTGGCCAGTATTTTGGTATACTGTACGGCCCGGTAGGATAACGATAGAGCCGAAATACGGTCGGTGGGCATCGGCCGGGTGTGGGGGGGGGGAACTGCACTTAAAGGGATAGGAGCGGCATAAATCAATCGATTACGCGCGGGAAAGAAAGGTCTCTGCGCCTCTCCCTGGGCGCCCCTCTCGCCGCCGGTCGCGCTGGGAACTGTTGAACCCCCTCCCCAAGGGGGGTTCAACAGATGCCGTCCTCATCTCTTTAAGCCCCCCCCGCTATCTTACGTTTAACAGATAACCAACCCGATTTTTCAGGACCTGCTGTTCCGGTGTCTCCAGAAGCGCTGTCAGACGGGCGCTATCACCAAGGACGGGCGCATCGGCGAAAACTGGCGTCGCTACGACGCCGTCCGCGTATCGAAGGGAGCCACCACCCTCATAGCGCCCGCCCGCGTGACCCAGGTACGATCAATTAACCAATTTTTGGGCTCTTTTGATTCTTTTCATTAATTTTTCCTTAGGATCCAAATTTTGAAATATGTTCCAATAAGTTTTACAGTTAGTGTTTCAAATTTTTTCAATATTCTGCAACGTAAAAGCGCACGAAATTTGCTTAAAACAATACCAGAAAAATATTTTGGGCAAAATTTCGAATTTTCAAAGAATCAATGGAAGCCTCTGCATAGTTTTTCTGGTTGAAATATAATTTTATTTTACAAAGTACGTTGGAAAATACTTCGTAGCAAGTCATTAGTTCTTTTTAAACTCATTAAAAAATTTTCATTTTATTTCCCTAAACCAAGTCCAAGGCTAAGCCTACACCAGGTCCAAGCCTAAGCCTAAACCAAGTCCAAGCCCAAGCCTAAGAACCAACGAACCAGTCCTTTCTATTATGAATAGAGGAAACGGGCCGGTTGACCCCCCCCGATAATGCCAAAACACCGGCGTTTTTTTCAGCCCATCATTGACCACCCGCTTCTCGAGGACCTGAAGGATGTCAATTTGCAAGACCTCGAGGCCTACAGTCGTGCGCGAGAACAGGCGAAACAGTACGAGAAGCTCCCCCTTGAAGAACTATACACGGTAACGTACAGTTTTGTCGAGAAACCCATACGGTTCGGCTCTGGACTGTTAGCAGGGGGGGGGAACCAAATTTTTGCCCCGTATTTTTCTGTGGCCCTATGACCAAATAGAAACCATTTTATAGCATGTTACATAGCTTTTAGTGATCAAAACATATAAAAATGATAACAAATTGCTAAAATACTTGAATTTTTGGTGTGTAGGAAAAATGACCAAAAAGGCCAAAACCTTCCAATTTGCAACATTTTTTTAATGTCTTTCTAGCAATCAAAAAACTGCTAAATACACTATAAAAATACATAATATATCAACAACCGGTCGGTATAGGTCGAAAAACAGAAAGTGGTCACCCCCCCCGCTAACAGTCCGGAACCTACGTTTCTGGGCCCTGTTTCCGCAACTCCGCTGAAGAAGCAATGAAGCTCCCCATTTCCCTCCTTTCCGGCGCTCGGGTACTCTCGACTGTTATCGGAGGGGGGGGGGGCAACTAAGTTTTTACTCAGCGGTTCTTTGGCATTATCGGGGGCGGGGGAAGAAATTTTTTTTTGTATTAATCTAGGAATGCCTAGCAACCTAACAGGGGGTATTTTCCTAGTGTTTTTAGTAAGATGAAACAATGTTTTAACCAAAGAAACAATCTAAAAACTTTGAAAAAATGTTTAAATTTCGAATTTTTGGTTTTGTCAAAATGGATTTTTTTGTCAAAATTCATTTTGTTTTGTATTTGTTAATGCAACTTGTAAGTTTTGGTGTGTGAGATAGTCACACAATATTTAACAGTCGCATAACAGTCTATATTTAAAAATTGGTTTCGAAGACCCCCCGATAATGCTTAAGGACGTACCGATGATAGAGTCACCAAAAAAACAGCGGAATATCGAAAAAGCTACGTGATTCCACCCCCCCCACCCCGCTAAGGAAGCAGAACCGTTTGCGGGGAAATTCTCCAGAAATTAACAAAAACATCGAAAAAGGCATGTCTGTTCTGTCCGTTCCTGGCCTCATGTAGCGTACAGATACGTCCCGTCGTTTTGCGAGCCACAACGCGTACCGCTTACAGATGGTCAGTATGTTCTACAAGAATGAGCGAGAAGATTTGATGACTGATGTGGCCAACGCGCAGACGTCCATGGTCGCTGCCTTCATCGCCTACAAGTCGGCGGTAAGTTGGTCTCGCTCACAAGGGACCTTCTAAGGTCAAGGTCGTGTTTCGGTATTTTATCGTTTCAAAACATATGGAAATATCGGAAAAAAATTACGTTTCGCCTATTAATGCGTGGAGTCCCTCAACATGTTTGCCGTGGTCGAATTACTATAAGAAAGTTGTTTTCTCGAGGCAAAATTATTTTTAAGATCTTTGCAAAATTTCGAAACATACAAAGGGCCACAAACGAGTCATTTTCATTTTTTTTGCACAGGGATTCGGGAATAACATACAAAGCGAGTCAACGCTCCGAGAGATGCCACGGTTGAAAAGCCGCGAAGCGGTTTTTCAACCCTGGTAAGGCATTATCTGCGCTCCTTCCGGCGACTTGTTAACACGTTTTTTAGTCCGACGCCAAAAACGTCATGACGACGAAATGGGTGAACGGGACGGCAGCAGACGACACAGATTTCCGCCATGCAGTGGGAAAGGCGAACGAGACTCGCGCGGGCTTTGGAGAACATCTTGAAGATGAGGAAACGGAATGATCAAGAAGACAAGCACGACCGCCACCTGCACTGAAATGCCCGACTTCCGGCCACCTACCCATCCCACCATTTAAAGCCTTGACTTCTTTGGTTGCAAATGCTATAAGGCAAGGCCTTTTGCCAGCTAACTTTTTGCGATAGACATTCTAAATTCCGAGCAACCTCCCGGTGTCCATCCCAAGCTCAAGATGGATTGCGCACCAGCCTCGAGCAGGGTAGTTCCCGCGAATTTTCGAGCTTAATGCCCTGATCAACTCTGAATTTTACGAATATGTACACTAGCAAGCGCCGGAAAATGAAAATGCCCTTGTCGTTTTTGGATTTTAAAGTGAGGGAAAGTCGTTGTGCAAAATGAACTGCGGGAGGTTGTCGAGAGTTGGATTCTATCAAGTGAGTGAGATGACAAAAGCTTTGCCAATGCACCAGCAAAAACTGTCCTTCTTTGTCATTGCCAGCGTAACCTTATAGTCATTATATCTCACGTCCCTTGTAAAAACGAGAATTGGCCCGTCCCCGACAATCGTTCCGTGTATACCCGCCGTGCCCGTCGAATAAATCCTTTAAAAAAACGTTTCCAGATCTAAACAAGTACACCTGGCTCCACAAAAACTGTATTTGGATGGACCTGCAACATCGCGGCGTAAAAAGCATTAAACCATCGTCAATTCAAGAATACAGACATAAATTGCTTTCTTTATCGACGCGATAATGATCCAGGCTGACCCTCTTCATGACATCCCAGCGCCGGCAAGTGCGCTGCCGATCTAGGTCCATCTGTTCGGAAACGCTCAACGCGCCATTGCCGACTGTGTAGCGTCATCGAGACGGTCGGAAATGCTCACAACGCCATTGCCGACTGTGTAGCGTCATCGAGACGTTCGGAAATGCTCACAACGCCATTGCCGACTGTGTAGCGTCATCGAGACGTTCGGAAATGCTCACAACGCCATTGCCGACTGTGTAGCGTCATCGAGACGGTCGGAAATGCTCACAACGCCATTGCCGACTGTGTAGCGTCATCGAGACGTTCGGAAATGCTCACAACGCCATTGCCGACTGTGTAGCGTCATCGAGACGTTCGGAAATGCTCACAACGCCATTGCCGGCTGTGTAGCGTCATCAAGTCGTTCGGAAATGCTCACAACGCCATTGCCGACTGTGTAGCGTCATCGAGACGGTCGGAAATGCTCACAACGCCATTGCCGACTGTGTAGCGTCATCGAGACGTTCGGAAATGCTCACAACGCCATTGCCGACTGTGTAGCGTCATCGAGACGTTCGGAAATGCTCACAACGCCATTGCCGGCTGTGTAGCGTCATCAAGTCGTTCGGAAATGCTCACAACGCCATTGCCGACTGTGTAGCGTCATCAAGTCGTTCGGAAATGCTCACAACGCCTTCTTGCACAAGCCTTCAAGCTAGGAATGTGGACACTTCCACTTGGTGAATTCACCTTTTAAATTTATCCCCGAAAATACCAGTATATAATAGAGCAACAATAATAATACAATCATAACAATCAGCAATAATAACAACTATAGAGAACAATCATACGGAACAGAATCAAGGCACGGCAATCAGTAACGCGAAGAGAGCTTGGGTGTTGGCGGTGATGGTGAGAATGATTATTCACTTCTTCACTTCACAGGCTGTAGTCGGGATGATGATCAGCCAGCCCCTGAAATTGAGTTCGGTTGTTGGCAGGGTTGGCCACACTGGATCCGAATCGTTTCCGTTCCGGTCCGGGGGTCGGTGCGATCCGGTCCGGTCCGAAGTTCCATCCGGACCGGACCCGACCGGACCGAGGGCTTCAATTTGATAGGAAAAGCGGCAATGCAAGATGCAATTTCCGTGTGCAAAAGAGGGACATCCCAAAAAATGACGTAGTGTGGAATTCACTTAATTAAAATGTATAAAATTATCCAGGCCCGATCATTTTGGCGATGTGAGCGACGAATAGTAGCTCAGATTTTTCTCTATTAAAATTAGGTTTTTGTAGAAACCTTGGCGTTTATTTTGAAAATCTATTTTACTAACAATTATCAAAACACTTCCTATTAAGTTACTAGGCGGTTCTAGCCTTGTGCAAAAAAAATTTTGTTCTCACCCACCCGAAAGATTCTCCCACCCCCCGATGATGCGAAAAAAACCAAACCAAAAGGTAACTTGTAGGGCTGTTAGGCCAGTTAGTGGCGGTTACCTTGCTTTCGACAGTGTACGGCTGTTGAGGGAGAGCGCTGGTTGGGACGGGAGCGACTCGTCGACTTGGCCGCAGCCCGATCCCTCGGAGGGACGCCACCGGGACGCTGGATCGATGTTCTTGGAGTGTTTGGCTGCGTATTGCGCGATCGATTAGACGCTCGATATTCTTAAACAGAACATATATTGGGGCACGGGCAAGAGTCACGAAACCTGGAAGATGGGGGCGACGTCCGGTGACCAATGCCCATAGGATGCGCTCCCTCCAATGCGGCATGTCGCCCATCGTCGCCCTCGGCTCGACTCCTCCCACGATCGCGTCGGCATACACGCACACCCAGACTCCGCAGGTGGATCCGTCGGTTTGATCGCATATCTAAATATCATTTTTCAGTCGATATAAAAAATCACGTAATTCCGAGAATAGACTCTGATTAAATTAAAATTCCCAAGCCAAGCCTAAGCATTGTCACGATAACGTATTTGGCTGCGAACCTTTCGGTAGTTGAGGCGCCACTCGTTCTGAGGCCACAACTCCTCCAATCGACGTTCAGCCGTCTCAAACCGCTTCAAGTAGACAGCTTCATCCGATTCGTTGAAAAGCGAATCCCATAGCTGCACGGTGCCTGAGGACGGCTGGACCACGTACAGCCACCAGTGGACGCCATCGCAGACGGGCCAAAGCCAAGTGGAGTTGATGTCGTCGATATTCGGAACCGTGTAGCTAGAATCGAAAGGTGTGAGAAATTGAAGCGATCTAGTAAATAAACGACATCGAAGGTTTCGAAAAAATTTACTTGTTGGGGTCATGCCAAAAGTTTGACGGTATACGACGGAACTGGATGTGCTGTTGGCTTCTCATAACGACCTCCAAAAAAGCGTCCACCGCATCGTCGTAAAGTTGGGAATTTCCTGAAAACTAAGCGCTAAAGATATAAATAAAATAAAATATAAATTGAATTTGCTAACATAATGCCGAAACTCAGAATGTCGAAACTCAGAACGTCGAAATTCAGAATGAACTTGTCAGCCGATTTTTTGAATTTTTGAAAAGTTGTTATTTTCACTATTAAAATCAGGTTTTTGTAAAAATTTGACCCCCATCTTTGTTAGGCAAGAATTTGCATCACCGGGAGGTATAGCAAGGGGGCGGAGAGACTGATTTCCATTTTTTCTCGATAAGATTCGTGAAGAATATGCAAAGTCAATACTATCATAGGTTCTAGAAGGGGCCAGAGTTGAAAAGCCGCGAAGCGACCCCCCCCCGCTAGCAGTCCAGAACCCAGTAGATTTACCTTTCATTTCCGACCGGGGCCCAGTTCTTGTTCGTCTGCTGGTTTTTGAGCTTTTTCCCGGTGTCCCGTCGGAGCAGCTGTGTTACAAGGACGGCTTGGCGCTGCGGGCCCGTCATCATTTTTGTGTAGAAAATGTTGGCCGCGATGTACTTGGAGCGCCTGATGATGGCCTCCGTCAGCGTGAATTTATCCTGGAAATTCAGATATGCTGGGGAAGACATGAACACACCAGCTGTGCTTTGATGCTCTTGATTGCTTGGTCGGGCTGGGGCACACAGGTGATCTTCAGCGTTAAAAGTTGGAGGGCTTCGTTGTAGTCGACGATCACGCCATACCCCAGTCCTGTACCCCGCATCGCGCGCACAACTGGGCCTGAAATGAGAAAGGTAGAGTTCGCGTATATCCGCTCGGTAGTGCATAAAACGTCCTGATTCTGCGCAAATTTGGCGTAATTGGTGGGTAATGAATGAATTAGCCAAAGCCAGGTTTTCGAAATTTTAAAAATTTTCGGCATTCGGGGTAGAGCGTCAAAAAATATACGATGCGAGCAATCAGGTGGCAGGGAAATAATGAACAAGTAGGGCAAAAAAACCAAAAGTGTCAAGAAGGTAGGGCCACAGCTTTAAATAAGATTACTCGACATTTGGTATGAATATTAACTAATTACCAATACGAAATTCGAAGCGAGTTAGAATAATTCACACCTTGAACAAGCGGAAGGCGTGGAGGCAAATTCACTTTGAATGGTCATTACATAGTATCTAAGCTTCATTCAAAATGTTGGTGTTAATGATATGTAAAGTGCGGCCCTATCTTTTTGACACTTCTGTTTTTTTGCTCTTTTTTGTTCCTTCGCTTATAAAACTGGCTTCATCTATTTCAGATCAATTTTAAGTACATGGAAAATGCGTTTTTTCCAGCCCTGCAAGACCCACTATCGGACTTCGCCATAAAATTGATGAGGACCGAGAAAAAAACGTGATCGTAGATGCAATACACGTGTTCTAGCGCCCAAAACCCAAGTAATAATCTCTACCTGTGAAGTCCTGGAGCAATGCCACGACCGCCAATAGGTCGCCACCGCGGTGCTGGTCTTGGCGGGCATGGTATCGAGGCGTGCAGCGTTGTCAATCCGACGAAGCCGTGCACGTGCCGGTGTCGAAGGGAAATGGGCAGGAGGCGGCTCGCCGCGCACTAAATTGCGAAATTAATGTGAAGCAAACGGTGCTTACCCTGATCAACGATTGAGAGGCATGCTTCGGATCCGCAACGGCCAGGAATTGCCATTTTTTATGTTCTTCAGGCATTCGATCGCCTTTTCGTTGCATAAGAAATGCAGGTTGACGGTGCCCCTCTTGTACTGCTCGACGACCTGGAATGCTGCCAATCCGCCTCCTTTCACACAAAAGTTACCTTTTCAAACACCTCCCAGCCTTTGTTGTACGTTTCCTTGGAGCCGAGTTGTATTGGGCTGGTGTATGGAACATCGGCCACTAGAACAGAGAATTTGGGAAAATTTGTGTCAATACCTAATTTGGTATGGGGATCAATTCTCTAATACAGCTAAGCACGAAAATGCCCGGAACATTGGCGTACCGCGTTCACAAAAACGTTTTTCGGTCTGCCTGGAATTGGGCGATCAGGCGGGGCTGTTGATTACTGCAGAAAAATGCGCAAGAAAATTTTGCGTCGAATGGTGTATCAAGCTAGAACCGCCCGATTGCCCAGATCGCGCTATAAAGCATTTACTAGGCAAAAGATGGCCAAAGAAGGCTCCGAAAACTTATTAAGTTAAAAAAGACGCAATCTGAGGAATCAATTTGCAGCTAGCGAGGATGCCGAAGCTATTGCACAAAAGAGCAAAAAGAAATTCGGCTTTTGAGAGGGGCGGGGGACTGGGACGCCAGCTCTGGATTTCAGCCGCCGCTCACCAGGCTCCCAGGCGCACGACCCGGGTTCGATTCCTCGGCACCGAAAGGGACAGAATGTTCTTTTAACAGTCTCAGTGGGTGCCACGTCATTTGCGACCCGTCATTTGCGGACGCGACACTTGCGGCCCGTTCCCATAGTAAGCGGTGGGCCACAAGCGTCGTGGCCTCAAGCCAGGCCGCAAGTGTCGGGGAGCCGTATCCGCCACCCCGGGGCGCATACCAACCTTTGGCATTCCAGAGTAGCTCGATGTTTTCGTCGGTTTGTCGGCCGCTCCGTCCTCCGACCAAGTTTTTCTGGACGGCTTCGAAACTGAAAAGGTATATTGATCACCCAGTTTTGAGCCAGCCAAGCCTATCTCGTGCAGGCCTTGACAACGGGCCGGGCCGGGCCGGGCCTGAGGGGGGTCGCCCAGCCAGGCCCGGGCCCGGCCCGGCCCGGCCAAATCCAGAATTTCAGGCCCGAGCCCGGCCCGGGCCCGGTCGGCCCGGTACTAAATAAGGCCAGGGCGGACCGGTCAAATTTTTTTGGCCTATGAAGGGGTTTTTGGATATAATTCGAAGCAATACTTTCCAAACAGTTTTTAACTAATTCTACATAGAAAAACCTCACAAACTTTCTGAAAACTATTTACAAATTGTTGTTGCCGGCCAATAGTAAGGTCAACTACCGACAATTTTTGTTCGTTGTTTTTCTCGGTTGGCCGTTTTTCGGCTAAGATCTATAAAGCTGATCCTGAAAATACCCCAAACCAGGTTGTAAACCATCCTAACAGTTCCTGCTAGTCCATTCAGGCCAAAAGCAAACTAATTTCGGCTTATAAACCTTCTAGAGCTTTTAAAAAAACTACAAACCAGGAATGTCAATTGCCCGGATACGGTCACGTATTGGTTTTTTCTAACGAAAACACAAATTAAAGAAAAAAAAATTAAAAAAAAGTGAACGAAGTCGAAAAAAATCGTTTTTTTTTTGGGTCAAAATTCGAAAAATTTTCCCGAAAATCACCGTCCAGGACTGATCCGGGCCTAGCGGGCCCGGCCCGGCCCGGCCCGGACCTCCAATTCCAGGCCCGGGCCCGGCCCGGCCCGCCAAGTTTGGGCCCGGGCCCGGCCCGGCCCGGGCCTCGCGGCCCTGCCCGTTGTCAAGGCCTGATCTCGTGCAGAATCTTGCGCTGATTCCGAATCTGTCTTCCAAATTTTCTTAATCAGCATTTTAAAGAAGTTACAGCATATTTTAGGCGCAAAGAAAATACTCAAAATCGCAAGGTTTAGACTCATGACACGATTCGAGAGAAACTATTTCGGCAAAAGAATGTATTGAGCGCATCTGGCGCAGAAAAGGGCGTTCTATCGAATAGCTTTCAAAATTGGGTTAATCATAGTGTCGAAATTACATAGACTGATTTCCCGGAAACCCTTCCCCCCGCCCCCGAATCCTACGCGAAAAAGTTCGCCATCCTGAATTTCGACATTATGAAACTTCGGCACTTTTGGACGTTTTGAAATTATGTAATTTCGAATGGTAGCAAATCCTATATTATATGCTGCCTTATTTTAAGCTGAAATAACACCTTTTGGAACCCGGCTGATAACAATACTCTACGCAAAAACCGACTGTGCTTGCAACTTGTTGTTGTTGTTGCTGTTGGTGGTGGTAGTGTTTGCGGCATCTTTTGTTTCCAGCGCGCACTTCACGTCGTCGCGCAGCAGATATTTCTGCAGCCATCCGGGCAACTCGCCGACGTCGTTGTTGTGGCACTACAAATAAACGCCGCGGAGCGATGAAAGTACCATTAATTCGATGGTGAATAGTCGTTGGCCCAATTCTTCATATCCCGGCTGGCAGCCCTGCCAAATCCGCGGCCGATCGCCAACTGCGGCTAAAGAAAAATAGTGAGGTATTTCATGCCATCAGGCGCTTACCGTGTTCCCGAAAGCGTGCTGAAGCAGTTGGGAGAGCAGGAACGCTTCCAGCCTTGGAGAGCAACCTGCCGGGCAACTCGGCGACTGCGAGGACCTCAAAGAAAGATTGATAAGAGTTCAGTTTATCCTGCCCCCCCCGCCCCACCTACCCCAACGTTTGTATCTCGCCCGCCTGTTGACCTACAGGTGCGTAAAGTATACCAAAATTCTCTTTTTGCTCTGGCGAGCATTTTGGTATACTTTAAGCACATGTAGATGAACAGGGATTCGAGATACAGTAGATGGGAGCCGGCTGGGGGGACGGGTAAACTGAACTACAGCCGAAACATTCAACTCCAGCTTTTGATAAAAGCAAAAGCCCATTCACGGCCGGGGATCGAATCCGGGCCTTACGCGCGGCAGGCGAACACAAAACCAGTTAGCCAAACGGCACGATGAGATAGGGAAAGAACATGACCTATTCCCCCGGGGAAGCTTTATCCACGCTTAAAGGGGCTACGAACTGCAAATCAAAGCCCTTTTGGGAGGGCTCTTTGATTTCTCGCAAATGCCAGCGGGCGCTGGGACCAGAGCACTCACTCTTTCGCTTTTTGCGCGAAACTGTTTTGCCCGGTTTCTTTGTAGAAAACACTATAATTTGTGCATTCTGAGCCCATTTGAAATCCTCACTCAATTTTAAATAGTTTTTGGTGTTTTAAGCATCAAATTTGGCCCAGAAACAGCCGAGAACGTGATTTCGAGGTGACAGCAGGCTATTTCAAATTTGTGAGCTTCCCGGCCCCGGGGTGTACAGGAGGCCTCCGACGTCCAGGCCTCCGATTTTCAGTCCGTCACTCAATTTTTGGCATTTCTGGGTAGTGTTGGACGCACCCAAAGGAGAGCACCCGGGGTGCTTTTTCCCACCCAGGGTGCTTTTATTTTCACCCAGGGTGCTCTAAAAGCACCCCGGGGTGCTTAAACCACCCCAGGGTGCCCCAAAAAGCACCCCGGGGTGGGAAAGAGCACCCCGGCCGGGAGGGTGCTCTAGAGCTACCCCAGCCCCGCAGTGGGGTGCTCCAGAACACCCCAGCCCCCCTTGGGGTGTTCAGAAGCACCCCAGGGTGCTTCAGGCACCAGGGGGTGCCCTTTGGGGTGCTCTGTGGGGTGCTGTCTGGGGGTGCTTTTGCCAATGACCGCAATATATGAACTAGGCTATTTGATCGAATCAGGAGATTGAACATCATTTTCGAGCAGTTCGCAAAACTTGGCGCCAATTCGATTGCAACTCATTTGGGGGGCGTTTGGTAGCATTTCTTCGAGGTTGTTGAACACGGCGGACGATTTCGAGACGTTTTTTTTCTCACCGCGCTAGCAGCCTAAAGAAGCCTGATAGAATTGCTTTAAGCCGTTGAGAAGGTTGCATTTTGAACGCTCTTTCCAACGGTATACTTGCCGTTCTCCAAAATCGTCGGGGGACAGAGAGGGGAGCGTTCGATTTGCACTGCGAATCCTGGATCGCGAAGGGCACCATTCGAAAGAGCGCGAAAAGTTCTATCTGCCCAACCAGTTTTAGCTCTCGAGCAGCTTTGCCCAGGCTGCTAGCGCGGTTAGAAAAAAACGTCCGGCCCATCTTTCTCCAGCCCTTTAAGGAAACAGACCCCGCTATAGCGTGGACCGATTTCATAAAATTGGTTTCTTTTTCTTTAATTGGTATGGAATGGAAAAATGGAAACACACTTGTTTAAACCCTTCATTTTTCCGTTTGTTTGGTTGTTCCGGAAGGATGCCTGGCGGGTATGAGAAATCCCTACCCTGAAAAATTTTTTTAATGGTCAGTTTTCATTCAAATTTGTTGCTATGCATCTTATATATTAGTGGTATTATGTAAATTTAACTGGCTCATACGCACAATCTGAGTAGTATTCAGTACTCAGTGAGTAGTATTGGTTTTTTGATGAAAAGTCCGCGGACTTTTCGGACGTAAAAGTCCGACCGGCCGAAAAGCCCGCGGACTTTTAGGACGTCCGATGGTAAAAGTTCAAAACTGACGTTAATAAAAGGTTTTCATAGTTTTCTATTGATTTTTAAAGCAGTTTTTCAATAGTTTGTCGCTCGTAGATTCCAATTTTGCTCCGGCGGGTTTTTTTTGCATTCTGGCGCCCCTTTTTTCGAGGCTGAAGCTTTAACGTTCCCAAATTGCCATTTTATCATGTTTTAGGTAACTTTTCGTCTAAGGGAGCGACAAACTATCAACTACCCTAAAACCTCGGGTATAGTGCCCCCTCGTGTATAGTTCCGGGTGAAAATTTTCATGCGCACGGAGCGTCCGTAATTCTGTATGACCGTCAATGGGTGTGTTTCGTTTTTCTCGGTTTCTTGCCAATAACTCCGCTTACGAATGGTATTTTTGCAATTTTGGTTGAATAGTTGTCCGCATTTCGACTATTTTCACCAGTTTTTGGATGATGGATCATTGGTTTAATGAGAGAAATTGCTGC